AGCTTTGGATAAACTGGAATCTATTGCGATCGTATAATAATTATGTTTCTTTCTCGGTGTTCTTGTATTATTGTTACTAAGAGTGCACACGATGCATGCGTGAAAACTGCCTAAGAATATTATTTCAGTCACAAGTAATTAATAAAAGAATAATGAATGATATATTGTTCATTTTTTTTTAGCACCAGAGATAATGTTAAAGTACGAGAGATATGCATGTTTTTTGTATTTATAGCTTTACGTCACGCTTTACAACGCTAAAAATAGCAAAGCCGAGAGGATGGCTCTAAGGTGACAATCTCGTGGAAACGCTGTCTTTCAGCCAGTTCGAGGATCTCTCTCGTTAGTCACGCGGCTTCGACGGGCAATTCACAGCATCTTGTCTAGTAAGACAAAAGACAATCGTCTCGGACGATCTCGCGGCGGTGTCCGGCCGGTTGCCGTTGCCGCTGATTGGTCGGACACCGGCTACTGGACCCGGTTGACCCCTAACCCCGGCAACTCGCTCGCCTTTATCGTCTGGAATTGCTGTGTTGGTGGCGAGTTGGTACAACACAACGCGCAGCTCCCGCCCGCGGAGGCCCCGTCGCCTCCTCTCGTTATACACGCGCGCGTAACCGTGTACTACACGCATCTCTCGTGAAGCCGGCGCGGCCGCACGGTGGGAGCGGAATTCTGTGCTGAGCGACAAACAATTGCCGCCAAGTGGCTTAATTGCAGCCAACTAAACAAATGTTCCAACCGTATCTGCCCGCCGAGAACGGCGCGATCGCGACCGCGGCTCTCTTCTGCCCCTTCTTTCCTCCGCTGCGCGCTGCAATTCCCTCCGTATATAGTTCTGGTATCATGCGGCTCTTCCCCTGGCGGGAGGGACGTGAGGAGGGAACTCATCGTTCCGGAATCGCACCAGCTCTGCGTTAAGAATGTTCTCTCTGTTCTGCTTCTTCTTATCCCAACAATATTGTATATTTCCGAGCGGCGCGGTTCACTCGCTGCATTAGCGAAACACGTGATTACGATGACGAACATCGCAATAGAATTTTCATCTCCCGAGATCGTATCAGGATTTCAACGAAGCAACCGGAGCGGAATCGTTAAATCCGACGCTATTGAAGGATCTTAAACGACGCGCGCGGTTACTCTTGGTTCCGTTTTATTTCTCTCTTTTCGCCCGCTTCTGTCTTCGTCCCCGTGTTTCATGCCCGCAAGACGCCCGGATCGTTTCTCATTCGTCGCAGTCGTCGTAGGTGTATACGGCCGGTCGTGCGCGCAGTGAGATTCCCATTTATCAGAGTACATCCGCCGGAAGTGGGGCGGCCCCCGTGCGTAGGTGAGACGGAGAAGGAGAGAGAAAGAGAAGGAACACGCGTGTAGCCTCAGTGGAGGAGCGCAGGAAGATTGGGGAGGTCTTTGTTTATTAATACCTACGACAACATCCAAGTTCTTATCTAAGCTCAGCGAATGAAATCAGTACGATACCGGTGTGTTCGAATTTCGACGCTGCAAACTATAAATAGTCTCTATGCTTATCTGTGGTAGTGTTGCTATTGCAGTTACTTATTGATTATTAATTTTTTTTTAGAGATTATTCTTCCAAATGGTTTTAACGTTACATGTTATTTCGACGCGATCGTATATTGTTATAAATTTTCTAAGATATCGGTTTGACGCTAATGAGAAAAACAACATTCGGACAGTAGATTTGAAAGATATACGAAAATTCAGTACCACTCGAATACTGTTCATCCTTTGACGAAGTGGAGGAAACTCCCGATATCACTCCGTCGCTGCGCGTCCTTGTTGTAAATTAAACGCAACAATTCGCAGATATCCTGGTGCGCAGAATAACTCGTAACGATCGTATCGATGGTATCAATTACAAGAATACCGCTGAGGAGAGCTCGGTCTGCTCGTCGCCGATCGGCTCTTTCTCAGAAGGTAACCCGCCGCGATTATCTTTAATGGCAAACACCTTGACGGTGCGCCCGACCGAGCGAGATCGACCGCGGTGAGATCGAGACCTCCAGGATGAGCGGCTCGGCTGAACGCAAAGGCGACTCTTTAAATCTCCAAGACGAAGCAATAGATTACTCAAATTTATTCGGGGGATTATTGCTGGACCAACATGCGACAGAAATTTTTTTTCACCGTTTCTATTTTATTTCAATTTTTTCGAATGTATTTCTATCTTTCTTCTTTCCTTTCTGCCTGAATCCTTATTTTTAGCTCATCTGTCCTCTCCTTTTTCTATGATGTGCATTAACCGATTCACCGGCTCTCTCAGATTACAAAGGTGGCTCATTACAATCGATAGACACATATAGATACTTCCGCTACCGATTCCGTGAAATCGGGTTATATTAAATTCTTAATGAAAGATTCTTAAAATAACCTCCCGCGGATGCAGCTGGAAATCAACGGTGTAACTAGCTGCCGAGCTGGCGAAGAAGAAAAAGAGAAGTGGGGGAGGGAGGGGGGGGGGGAGAAAGAGTGAGACGCTCGGCCAATAAATTCCACCGATTATTAAACAGATTCTATGTTCGGCTTCTATAGTACAACGATGAACCTTTGAATGCACCGTCCCGTCAATCTATTTCGATCGATTGAAAAAATACGGCTATTAAATTTATATCGAATGCAATTTTTGGTACGGGCATTATCCAAAATGAATTCGCAGGCATTGTATTGAAATCAAGAAATGACATATTTTGGCGGAAAAAGCTCGTTCACTGATTTCTCTGTGTAACCAGCGACTACATCCAAGTTTGATACATCGTTGATATGTAAACGAAATTCTATCTGGTTCAACATAGATGAAAGCGGCGTGAATAAAATCTGCAAAGTTTCGAGGCGCTCGAGCATTTTGTTCGTTCCACTCGCGTTCTAACGTAACTGTAAAATCGCGAATGCGTTGCGAAACACATATTTTCACATTGCGAAGCGCCGAGATCCATCTTGTATTTTTGTGACATTCCTTTTGTACCGAAAAGATGCGCAAAACACGACTATTCGTTTTGAAAAAAAAAAAAAGCGCGTCGCGACATTTCGCAGCGATCGGATCTCCTTGTCTCTTTCTCTCTCGCGATTTCCACGTTCGTCCGCGCGTCGGCTCGTCGGAATTTCTCGGTTACATCATCAGAAGTTTTTGCGGTGCTGCGCACACACCGACACGTATGCACGCTCTCGCACGCGCGCTCCTCTCGCACGCCGCCTATATGTCCTACAAGCCCGCTGGACAAAGTTGTGGCCGGTATCAATTGGCCGTGCTCTCCGCGTTGTATACCGGTCGACCTTCTGGAGTTGCAACACGAGACCTGACACAGATAGGAGAGGCTGTGCCGCCGCTGCGCCTGCTGCTGCCGCGCTGCAGCAACGCACACAGCGAACCAGTCGGCCCAGGCATCGCTCGGTAGAGTGCATGCCTTGCGAAACTGCCGGTCGGCCAATCGGTCGCTCGTTTCAACGGGGAAAAACCCGTTAATTTCGTCGGGATAAAATCCATCAAAGCGAGATGGAATCACGCGCCGGATAGAGCTTGGGAGATCGCTTCGCGCGAGGTTCGATTAGAAGCGTGATGCCGTGTCGCGTAGCGCGGAGAACGCCTCGCGCTGCTCTTTTCGATGAAAAACGACCCGACCATATAGAGGTGATCCTCCACTCGAGCCTCGGCCTTATTCCCCCCCAAAACGACCCTGACCACTCGATCTCGGCCAGTGGCGTAAAAAGAGAATGATTTTTCGTCGAGCGGTGTGGAGGATCGTTTGTGTGTCGCGAGTAACGTATCGATTTTAGGAAATGTCGTCGGATCTAGTGAGACTGATTTTATCATTGCGATATCACTAGCGAGAAGAAAAGACGAAAGAGATGGATCGAGTAAATTGTAGACTATTAATTCTCTATTTATTATAATACGCAATTATCTAGATTTATCATATTTATTTGTTTCATCCATGTCGGGAGAAATTATGACGGAACTTGACACGCGGAATAATTAATAATTTCTTGATGAACGTAACGCGCAAGTTGCACTTCTGTGTGAGCATCTCTCACTTTGGTCGACGTTGTTATTTCGCCAGGCTATACTTAGAGTAGATCGGTGAACATGTGTACATGGAGCTTAAGCCGGAGACAGATTGACCGCGTTGATCGTGAAAGGGTTGAGAGGCGGTGCTCGCTCGCGCTACTGATCCGAGATTCTCGACGCGCGTCACCTTCGCGGCGCGGCGCAACGCCGAGGCGTAAGCAATTTGCGTTTCGACGAATCGCGAGTCGCCGCCGGCTCTTGATCTGGGACAATAAAGTCCACGGTCTTTCTGTGGGCGTATGGTAACGCGAACAGCCTTCGATAGCTTCTTCTTAATCGCGCATCTCAAGTTGCGTCGCAATGTAGTACGAATCAACGAATTTGTTTTTGTGGTTTTTATTTTTTTGAGTGATGGATGTACGAGTAAATAATAATTGAAAAATGTTGATATAATAATACTTTTCGTATTAAAAGAAATTGAAATAAGTCATTAACGAGTGACTTCAATGCGTATCATTTCAATTTATAGTTATATAATAATTCAAAACAAGTACAGAAATATATCTGCATTTTTTGCTTTAAATAAGGATAGATTTTATGATTGCTATATTGTACATCTGTTACAAACTTTGATTTAATAAAGGAGAAAATTGTTTAAATATTTTTTTATGAGAATATTTGGAAGGCAATTTTCGCAAAAATGACGTGGGCACTATATAGTGGAACTGGAGAAGGTAACACGCTCTGTACAACGATGCGGTTACACCGCGACTGCATTCGCGCGGTATTATCATAACCGGCAGCTACGGAAAATGAGTTTCGCGAACTTTTAAACGCGTCGCAAGAGTTTCGTCCTGCTCGCTGTAAGCGCGCATGCTGCGTCGTAGCGCGGCCCAGGGCGAAACTGTTCGACTGCTGTATACGAGCTAAGTGGAAAAACGCTGCAGGACTAACGGTGGCTTTCTGTTTGTTGCAGGAGAACATCTCGACCCCGGAGCCCGCCGACATATCCGAGGACGATCACTATCCAAGTGAGCACAGAACCTTTTATTATCTATTTCTCTCTCTCGTAGCATAGACCTTGCCGTGCCTTTCTTAGCCGGTGCTCGAACCTTTACTCAGCTTGAGGATTACGAGATCCTTACGAAACGAGGCGCAAAGGCGTCTACCTGCCCGTGCGTGAGTGCGCGCGAGGCTTCGTCTCCGTCCGGCACGATCGCGCGCCCGTGTACACCGTTCGCGTGTTTCGCCTCGAATGCTTTTCTCGCACGGAAGGAGCGTTTCGGTCTTTTTCGCGGCTCTCTCTCTCTCTCTCTCTCTTCGCCAAAGGGTCAGGTCGCATCCGTTTCGGGAATCTGACCCGAATTCTATGGCGCCGCGTGTTTCTATATTATTGAACCGCGTCCTGAATGATTTAGACGTCACTCCCGCCAGTCCTCTGTCTCTGCCTTTCTCTACCTCCAACCGTCTCTCCCTGCTGGTTTGTTCGCTGACTAATAAATCTCTACTCTCGTTGAACGCGCGGTCGAAGCGCCCGTCTGCCGCGTGTCACCGCTAATTCCGTCGCCCGGGCGAACAAACGGAACCGCGCCCGCGCGATATGCTAGAAAATCTGCGGATTGTCCCTTTGAACTCTCCGGCGCGATTACGTGCGGTTGTGCGTCGCCGGCAACTACGTGGACACCGTTGTTTCAGTCGTCCCCGCGGAATTTGCGCGAATTAATAGTAAGCTCGTTTGTACACTTCGTCCATCGCTGCCGCTGCTGCTGCTACGCATTATTATAATAAGCTGAATTAGCTATTGACAGATTGAGCCTCGTTCGCAATGCGCAATGATAATCCTAAGTCGACATAAATTTCAGAATACGAAAACGCCGAGTCGGGAAAATCGAAAAGTCGGGTAATATTTCGATCATTTATAACAAACTCGATCGAAATTTATTTTCCTTTGGCTTTAATCTATTTTTCACAAAGTAGACTGAGAGAAAAATTGAAAAAATTTTATTCGATGTTACAATGCAAATTGTCAACTTTAAAACAGATTTAAGATTATTACATTTTTCTGTTGTGAATAACGTAGTATTATTCTTTGAACGTTTTTTGCTAAATCCTTGCAAGGATCGCAAGTCCTAGATAGGATTTCACATAATAAGGCGCGATAATCTAAGGATTAATGTCGGCGATTCGATTCTGATGGACTCACGTATACGTTAGCGGCAGCTCGCGTAGTAGGGATCGATTCGTACGGATATAACGAATTAGTATCATCGGACGCGTTACTCGGCACCGTGCATTCGATTACAGTTTCACGGCGTATAGGAATGGCTTGTCTTTACAGAGGGACGTATATAAACCGCGTTATATGCGCACTGCGGTCAGATAAAAAAAAAGGAAGGATCAATGATTTCGCGAGTAGAACGTACAGAAATACGCAAATACGACACATAACATTTACAGAAATCGATTCGAAACGTTCTATGAGCTTGCCTGCATTCAAATTCTTTCTGCCAAGTGTCATCCAGTTTGATATTAAAATATATATATGTCTATAGTGTTATAAGAGAGTCTATAGTGTTTACTACAATTTACAGTTTAAAGAAAAAGTTTGTTTCCGCATTATACCACTTTCACACATTCCGAATTGATACTTAGTAATTTTCGATCACGTTTTTTTCTCCGCAAGGATTGAATGTCACGCGTTTAGCATACTGCATTTTGACTCTTTGATTAAATAATTATTCTTGTGATACGTAAATATACTTTAATTGCTCTCTTTCACTCTATCTCAGATAATGCACGAGAATTCCACGGTAAGGTTGTGTGCGTGAGCAAATGATAAGTAATGAACTACGGGCTGTAAGAAGCGAGTCTCATTCAGAAGCAATTTGTACTAAATGGTAATATAAGAAAATAAATTAATTCTTATTTATTGGTTTTTTACTGAAATTAAATTTATCAGAATAAAATTTCAAAGATCAGGAATATTACATTAATAATAAATCAGTATGCGATATTGGCGGAAAACATATTTGCATCATGCATTACTCATCGCTCATCGCTCGCACACGGCCTTCATCATATCGGTGACAATTTTAGGAGCTATCGCCGTCTTATTTTTCGTTTGTGCGACTCGCGTTGTTTGTTTGTCGCTTGGCTCGGCGTTGCAGTATGCAGTCAGTGCCGAGCGGCCAGCGGATCGGAGGTCACGAAAAGACATACGTCATCGCTCGCTCTAGGATATCAGTTCGTCGATGCATCGGAACGACGAGTCACGGCGCTAAAACCGGCTCGTAGATCTTTCTGGCTCCGCCGGTAGCCTCGGTAGATATCTCACGGAGCGAGCCGTCGACAGAACGTCGTTAATCGCGCCGTCGAATTCTACCGCGGCGCTGATCAATAATACAACGACGTTCTCTCCGCCGGCCGGTTCGTGCCCGCGGATAAATCATGAGCGTACACTTCGGCGGAGAGTTAATCGTAGACTCACTTGCGCGGGGGCTTAATCCGCCGCGGCTCGCTTTTTTTTGAAAGAGCCCGTGTAAATTACCCGATCGATTAATAATCGTAACCGGCGTGCGGACCGTCGCCAGCTGTGACGGTCGTGCTACGCGGCCGGCCGGCCGGCGGCCGGTCGATTTATCAGTTTCGGGTAATTAAACCTGTTGCGTTATTAAGCGCCGATTAAATCGAGTCGACGACGTTGTTTTGCGTAAGTTTAATTTATTCGGCGCACTCGCGACTCCGTGAGCGAGCGCAGGTAGCTGATAAGTGATAATAGCCTTCGGCGAGGTGTACGAGGCTGGCCGGAGGTGGATGACGAATGTCGCGATTCGCTCGCGATATAGGATCGCGTCCGGACGTATGACGCTCACTCTCGTGTGAGCAAGGACTCTCCCGTTAACGAGAGAGAGAGAGAGAGAGAGAGAGACCTTGGTCGACGCGAGCTTGCTTCGCACGCGCGCGTGTCCGACCGCGTGGTTTGCATGGTGGAGTTTTTTTCAAACTTGTTTGAAGCCAATACGGCATTTTTAATTTTGACAGGCACGCTCATGAAAGACCCGGATAAGCTGAAGCTGATGCTGCTTGCGTGGAATTATAATATCCAACAGCAAGTCCAGGCACAAGCGCAGGCACAGGCACAGGCTGCCAATGCCGCGCTTTCGCCAAATCACTCTTCGACTACTACCGCTACTACCGTTGGCACCCCCGTCACCAGCCAATCGGCCATCTCCACGGCAAACAACACCATTAACAACTCTACGCTCACAGGTAATGCTTTATTTCACATGGCGCTCCCGGTATTGCGATGCCCTAAATCGTAAGGCAAATGTATTGCAAGCTGCGCGGAAGTGTTAGGAACGAACAATGTTTTCAATGCTGTCCTCGAAAAGTCTATGGCTCTTAGCAAGTAGAATATATATATTAAAAGAATTTGAAAAATTCTTAATCCTAGGATACGTAGGGGAGAGATCTCAAGTTACCATTTGTCCAGTTAAATAAATTATTTGTCTTTTTTTCTTCTTTCAGAATTTGCGAATTGTTCGAAATTACTTTTTTATTACAACTTTTGCAAATTTCTATTCTATAGAATTCTGTATCCTAAGATTTAAGACCGTTAACTCCATTTTCACTACTGTTGTACGAGGACTCGTTGATGTCAGTGGCATTAAGCGCGACGTCGACTACGACTTTACGTGTGACTGCGAATGTCAGGGTATAAAAAGAAAGAAAAAAAAAAAGGAAATCGACAGGCGAGACGTTTAACGGAATCCATTACGAAACGCGAAAGACGTCTAGACGTCTTTCTTTCTTCTTCGTCGCGAAAGGACTCGACGAAGTTACGTACGCCGATGTCCCATTGATGTCGCCTAGACTGACGAAATCCCACTTATGAAAAGAACCTTGCTCCGCCTGGCGTAAGCGCGCGGCCGGGGGCTTTAATGTTCAAGTTTTGCGTCCTTCTTACGCGCGCGACGCGCGCCTTGGCTCGGCGCGGTGCGGCGCGGCGCGACGCGGCGGAGTGAATTGCAGGTTTCGCGGGGCCAAGGTGTACCGGCCATTTAGCTCGTAAAGTTTTGTCGTCGCGCGCGACGTGACTAATGGATCGCCGGCCTAGGACGTACCCCGTGGCGTAGAAAGAGAAATTCGACGCGCGTCTGTCGTTTGTCTTTGTATGTGTGTGCGCGCGTGTGTGTGTCTGTGCGTGTAGCTGTGTTTGCGCGAACGCGCGAGCGCCTCTTCTCATCACCGGTACACCCACGCGTTCCGCTGAAATCCACGTCAGGGTGAATCGCGGGGGTGAAGTACACCCAGTGAATCCATGTTCTTCCCCCGCTGGCGATGAATCAGCGGGGGCGGAAAGCCGTTGTACGCGAGATGCGGAATGCAACCGATACCTTCGGCTATCGAAACTACTCGGAGTCTGCGGTACTCGAGTGCTGTTGCACTTCACATCCTCGTTTATTAATCCTTACGCAATCGCCGCGGAAACCCGATTGCCTTCGTGCAATCACAATTTTATCTAAGCAACGTTCGAACTTGAGGATTTTAACATTATTCTACTTCTTGTTCGTATTACTTATTTCCTATTTTTATTTGTTAAAACTTTAAAGTGTCGACACATTTAGAATATTAAAATATCGATTGCATTTCTAAATGCCTGGAAGGTACGTCTAAGACGCATTGCGTACTTTGATACTTCGCGTTCGAGTGGCCTGATTGAATAAAGAAGTGAATCATATGAATGAGAACGATGGATGTAATGCGGTAATTGTGCCGGCCGATGGACATTGAAAATTGAATATCGAAAATCGCAACGTGCGGTGCGCCGAAAGTCCATTAGTCGCACTATTACAATATTGCAAGCGGGCCTCTTAAAATGGTTTTGGATTATAGTCTATATAGCATACGTCACATTGTTAATCCTCTCATTCGAGCTACCTACTTTTCTAATACAAAAAGACAACGTTATACTTTCTAGTAAAGTTACATTATGTTCAAAAATACATATATAAATAGATATATGGATTTTTTGAAATCACATAATTAAAGATTACAAAAAATTTTTGTGAAGCTGATCATCTTTTGATAAAATTCAATTTTAATTAAATTTTATAATTTTATAAGTATAAATTTTTTACTTTATTTTCAATTTTATATCCAACAAATTTTAATTAAACTTTTTTCTATCATAAAATATTAAAATCTTATGTTTTACGAACTGTAAGTAGCGCTTTATTCAGAAATTGTCTCATTTTTTCAAGTATGTCATATTTTTTGAAAACTTAGCTCTATTATGTTTGGCGACGGAGAAGAATGCGCGTTAATTGCCACATATGTTCTTAATGACGCGATAAGATTCTCCAAGATGCCGAGCGTTTCCGCACGGTACTGCATAATCTCGAGATTCGCCCGTTGTTCAGTTAGGCCAGGTTGCGGAAGGATAATTCACCGCGCCTCTCCGCCTCAGTACGCCTCTCTCTTCCACCTATCCTCCCTGGCAGCTATTTGAAACTGGTTTCGAAGCGGGCCTCTATATCTCGGACGTAGTCATTGCGTAATGAACCAGCCATCGGCCGAAGAGACGAGTATAAATATACATATATATATGTCTATATATATACACGTACGCGCGCACATTGCACACGGCGGATAGACCTTTCCTCGTCTCTCCCTCCTACGTGATGACCAGCGCAGATTCCACATCTCGCGCAGGACTTCTCTCTCACTGGACCCCGCTTCGTAGATACGCGTTTCGCAAATCGATTTCTCGATAGAGCCGCTTCTTCTGTCGCGCGATCTCGGGGAAAAGCGACAAGCATCGTCAGCGCCGGTCGCACAAGTCCACGGTTAATCCGAGCCGCGATATATATTCTCCGAATATAATCCTCTCGATATAGTTTCGTTCGCGAATTTCTATTTTCAACTAAACATTCACAGTCGTTTGTTCTCTTAATCTTGTGTACTTCCCATTCGAACCGATTAGCATAGTTTGATAATTTTTTAATTTATTTAGCGGTATATTTTCCAAAATGCACTTTCATGAACGTTACTTTGTTTATTTTAATACTATTAATATGGAAAATAATTTTTCAAAGTGTAAAATTATATTTATCTGAAGAATATTTATCTCTAGTTAAATATCTCTGGAAATAAATATATTTCTAGTTTGTGCTGTAAATCTATTTTTCGATAAAGCTGCTTTACTCGCTCAAAGATCTTGATAAAAAAGACACGGCGACGGCTGCGAGGACATCTTGGTTTCTCATCTCTTAATGCACTCTGCGGCATAGTCAGCGGTGTAATATTTATAATTTACAACGGACACAACTTTCCCCGGGCGCGTACGCGGCGATTATACTTACGATATGTCACAAAATCACAATGTCTTAAGTACGACCGCTTCCGGATCCGTTATATACCAGAATAATCATATATAATATCTCTCTTAAGCATTTATTCTTAAAGATCGCTTTGTCGATAATAACAAACGTTCTCCGAGTAAATAAATTAATATTATTAATTGCATTTAAAAATAAAAGATTCGAGAAATCTATACATTATTATCATTGTATTCGTCGATTACAGAAAGAATTGAATGAATAAGCGAATTAGTTGGAATTCGAAAAAAAAAAAAACTGACGATAAATAGAAACCGTTAAATCTTTATCCAAAGAAAAATCGGATAATCATTACCGCTGATTAAATCGGCGATACCAGAATAGGTGATTAAATAAATGAATTAAAACTTTGCGGGAAGCTTTATCTAATCGTCATCTGAAGCGTAGTTAAACCGAGGACTTCCGAATTCTCTTTTACGTCAACGCGCACGCACATGCCATCACGCGCGGCATCCTACTATGGTCAGTGACATTTATGAGGGACAAGATAATACGTCTTCGTCCATCCTCGCGATTGTACATTACCATCCCAGCGTGGCTGGCATCCGAGCGGTAGACAGTTCCATATACCTGGCCCGAGGCACCGTGGGCGTACGCGACTTGTCTGTGAATTTTGTAGCGCGCGAGGCTCGTGCGCAGCAGGCGCAGGCCTGCCTAGAAAAAGAGGAAGTGCTTGGTGTGGTCGTTGGGGGGCCGGGGATATCAGTTTTCCTTTGCGGGAACGCGAGATCGAGGGAATGAGGAGGACGAACTGCCGGGTGGGGCGCCGGCCGTCCCCGTCGTCGTCGGCTGATTTCAGGTTCAAGCGGCCGAGAGGCGAGTTCAGGAACAGTGCTTAGGCGATGTGGGATTGGGATTGGTAACCGGCTTTCTAGCCGCGCGCGTCCAGCGTTGCTTATGTGCGTGCGTGCTATTCCCTGCCTTCTCCGACTACTCTCCAGCGATACCCGCACGCTCGCTCGTAGGCCGTAAGAATCTTCTCTCGGTGTGTACAAGCGCTGTACTCTCCTAGAGAGCGTCGCACACACACACACACACACATACGTGCGCGTACGCGCTTGCTTTTTTTTTGTACCCGCGTTACTGTATACGCGTATATGCGTGTGAGAATCGAAGTGCAGCAACCTCCGGGACCGGTGGAACCGCGAGAGTAAAAGAGAGAAATGGGGGAGAGAGGGAGAGAGAGGTGGAGAAGGGAGGAAAGAAACGCACAACACACTGTCAAGCACGCCTCCTGGATGAGGGTCCAGTTTCCTGGGTCGTACGCTCGCGCGTTCAGTTACTGGTTCTACCGGAATCCTCCTAGAAAGATGCGTCGCGATCGCTGAACAACTCGAGGTATCAGAATCGCCCGCCCGAGATAGACTTCGCGTTTTCGCGCGCGAGAAGTTGAAGAGCCCGGCGGAAAGTTGCCCCGCGACGATGCAAATGCTCTCCAAGGCACGTTGCCTTGCAAACGCGCTCGCCTCGAAGTGGCGTCTTGGAAACTACGGTCGGAAGAATTCGATTCCAGAATGCAGATTACTTCGCGCGCATAGCGAGAGAAGTGGATCCGAGAAGTGGATGCGTTCGGTCGAGAGAAGCTACATCATCAAGAAATAAACGCACTTTGCGATCGTATCCGTTCCGAGAGATTCTTATTTCGTGTCATTTTTCGAGTATGTTCGATTTTAAATTTAAACATCTGTGATAAACAGTAGGAATGACTTTTTTCCAACTATTGCGAATAAAATAACAAAATATTATTCAGCTTCTTACGATGATATTACTTAAGACATGATTAGATTTTTTCAAAGTATATTTTACATTTGAGAATCAAAGTAGGTCGCGAGTGGAAAGTAATTCGAGTATCGTGGAAAATTAAGACAAACTCGTTCCGCTTTGTACGGACGAACCCGTCGTTGATGTTCTTTATCGACCGTGCGACTGTATGAAACGACAGCCGCAAGGCTGTCCCTTTTTAATCGGAACCAAGGAGAGCCCCAGGTGGAAGAAGTCCGCGAGACTCGTAGCCTCTTTACGATCCCCCTGCGGCACTCCTTGCCGACAATCCATACGCCTCTCTTCGTACGTGAAGCCTCTCGCCGGCCGAGGCTTGTACCTGTCCCCGTCAACATCCTCCTCGTGAAAGCACCTTTACCGTACCGTTCTCTCTCCCGGGATCGTGACGGTAGAAGACCGCCGCACCGCCTTTTAACACCTCGCACACGCTATCGGGGCTTATTACGGGTTTCGAGAACGGGCTGCCGTTATTATCGTAGAGAAGATACACGGTCTATATAAAGGCAGTGACAGTCCAATCTTTCTGTCATCGACACAATTGACACGCTAAATTTTATTCTGCCCTCTGGAGATGGAATCCGGCACGGATTTGCCTGTCGCGAAAATTTAATTGCGCGAAGAACATTGGTGTAAATTCCATTTCTTAAAACTTCCATAAAGATTTCATTACTGTGGGATTGATTCTGAGTAAAATTCAGTTTTAATGTATAACGGAATATTCTACAAATATATCAGTCAGAGAGAAAGTGTGCAATCAAGGCTACAAAGTTGTATAAAACGTACTCTCGAGAGATGTATGCATTGTACCGTTGTGCTTTTATTGCAACCGAGGCTGCGATCCAAAAAGCTACATGTAGTCGGCAAGCGGAGTTACTTAATGAAAGCTACACGAGGTCAATTAATTGATACTATCTAACTCTGGCATCAGTCAACACTTTATATTTATCCCAGTTCTCTTTATTATATAATTGTTATTTATCGGATGTTCGATCTGTCGTAACATTATTAATGAAATTGAAAAAAAAAAAACTGCGAAAAGCTCAGCAATTCTTTCGTAGGCGGCTGGTTTAGTGACCGAATTTACGTATCGAAATGCAACAGCCGATAATCGGCTACGCGCACACGGTTATAAGGATAGGGAGCCGTTTACGAAATACCACCTCTGCCGGTCGATCATCCCTAATCAGTGTCGTCACGCGAGCCGAACGTACACAGCGTTTATCGTTATTATATTCGCGGGATAAATGCCACCCACGCGCCCCTCTCCCTCTCTCTTTCTCTCTCGCCGCTAGTCGTACATCTAGCTGGCCGTACATGACCGGCTCCTTGCCTGACCATGGCGTGGGAAGGAAAAAAGTTTCCCTTCTTTTGTTCCAACCGCAATGTTCTCTATTCATAAATCGAAACAGCGCGAGGCGGCGATCCAGTCATCGCGGCACGGCGGTTATTCAACGGGAACGTTATTATTTTCCGGGCGCGCTGCGCCGAAGGTTCCCCCTTTTATCAGATAATTACCGATCGCGAGCGCAAAGTGTTGCTATAACCAAATTTGCGTTTATTAATTAGTAGTAATTATTTAAAAATATCATTGTTCATATTATACTCATTATCGATATTAATAATACTAATAATGTCGATTTCAATTGGCACTCACGAATTTCATCATCGTCTGTTTAAATGGCATTTAAATAATAATTATCGCTGCCGTTATTAAAACGATAATTACACCTATACCAACGCGCGCTTCGCTGATGAGAAAAATCTAGGCTTCGGATTTCAGACGCACGCTGAATTCATCATGCGAAAATTTGCTTTTGCAGACTCGCGAAACGGTTCCTCGGAGCTGGTCGACATGCCGGCGGGCACCGTACCGAGTTTGGGCGTCGGCGGCGAGGATATGGCTTCCCTGTGGGCATCTTACACCATGGGCTTTAAGAAGACACCGCCACCAGCGTCATCAGCAACGCCCTCGCGGTCGGATCGCGATCGAGAATCCAGTCCGCCTGGTGGCGAGGGAGCGGGAAGCGCTCACGATGAAACCAGTAGTAGTGGTAATAAGGAAGATGAGGATGATGACGACATGGATGCTGACGAAGGTTTGGATCCGAGACACCACGATCCGGAACGTCTCAAGGCGTTCAACGTAAGTATAATACATGTGATAATCGTTTCGCCAAATTCGCTTTTTCAAACTTTGAAAATAGCTTTTTAGACATCTCAGTGATTGAGTCTAAAACTTGAGGGGATAAAATTTTACTCTCATTATCGTGTATACGTTGCAAAGTTCGAAGAATAAGGACGCGTGATAATAACCGAATTACGGGCCGCCTAATTGCTAATCTAACCGGTCATTTTGTGCAACTATAAGAAAAGCGACATTCGCGCCTCGCGAATGGAGAAAGGGCCGTGGCAAGGGGAAAAAGAACGGCGGTGGTGCGCGGACGCAAAAGTTAAGGACGTCGGCATATTGGCGGCGCGGTGGGCTTTCCCGAAAAACCCTAATTGTCGTAAAGTTTTATGAGCACGCGGTACGCAGGGGAACGGCGTATGCCGTTTCTCTCGGTTTTTCTCCTTCGTTTCCCGTTTCTCATATATCTCTTTTTTTTCTCCGGCCGTTTTCCTCGTGAAAGCCAAGCGGCCGTAGTTTCGCGGCGGCTGCCGCTGGTTCGCGCCGGCCAGCTTCTTAATTAATTACAATTAGTTTAATAGAGCCCCGGTGTTACGCCCCACCGCCGCTAAATTCTTAATTCCTTGAGCGGTTAGCGAGACTCGCGTACCAACTACCGCTTAATTCACCACACCAACGTGCCCTGCGGCAGATGTTCGTGAGACTATTCGTGGACGAGAACCTCGACCGCATCGTGCCGATCTCGAAGCAGCCGAAGGAGAAGATACAGGCGATCATCGACAGCTGCACGAGGCAGTTCCCCGAGTTCGCCGAGAGGGCCAGGAAGAGGATTCGAACGTACCTGAAGAGCTGTCGGAGGAATAAGCGCGGCAGGGAGGGCACAACTTGGGATGCCGTAAGTTTTCTATCATGTTCGATCGCGAGACGATAAATCTCGATCTGTAAGATTTTCGAATGATTTACTTTCTTACAAAATTTACTTTATTTGAAACTCTCAGATTTTTCAAAATGTTCAGATTGCGCATTATCTCACTAATTAAACGCATTTATTACGCGCCAAATATCCGTGAACATCGAAAAAAAAACTCTATCCGTGAAAGCTTTAGACATTCTTGCGGCATGAGTCAAGTCTGGTATGCGCGACAAGCGCGCGACGACGATCACGGGCGTGACGTATACAATATCTTTTTAGGCCAGACCTACGCCGGCACACTTGACCTCCGTACAGGCTGAGCAAATTCTGGCAACGGCCTGCGAAAACGAAAGCGAAAATGCGAAACGCATGAGAGTCGGTCTGGAGCCGGTGTCACAGCCAATGCCAACTCTTCCGGCCGCAACGGTGAGTAATAATCATATGTGAAGGGACGGGACACACACTATCGCGCGACTCGCAGCTCGATAATGTTGCTTGCGGCGAATAGACATTTCGACATCGTTAGCTTGGCAATAATTATATGTCGCAATCTCGCGCTCGCGCCTCTAGAACTGGCGCGTGGACGATGAATACGATGTAGACACCGAAATGTATCTCTGATTAATTTAAGGCTCCTTATTATTGCAACGCGAGGATCACACGTGTCTTGGCGAGCGTTCTTTAATGTCACACACGTGGCCGAGCATTAGATATTACGCGTGCGCAGGCCAGCAACAGCGTACGGCGAAGCCGGGATTCATTAATCAAGCGATTTTTAGATGACAGCTCGCGGATGTTTGCGCGACGCGCTTAGTGAATCATAAACTAAAATGCGGGAAGCAATAACTTATGGCAATAGATACGTGTGAGTAACAGCGAGAAAATAGATTAACTGCTACTTGCCGCGGTGCACCAAAATCTGATGCAGCACGTTCGAATTGATATAAACATATTTTTTTACGGAAGCGATAGATAACGTAGTGACTAAACATTAGACAAATAATAAAAATAAATTATTTTACAGAATGCCGAATAAAAAAAAGTATCATCCGTCTCGTGTTTTTAATGTCGCAATTTTCTCCGTAAACGTGAAACAGCGTATCACGCAGTAGGCGCGTGTACAAATAACTTACGCATTCGAAACAACTCGTCGGCGTTTCGATCGATCCGCATCCTTGTAGAAAGATATACTATTAATGTACTTAATTATCTCTTGACTCATTCATCTTTTAATGCATTCGAATTTCGTGGCTTCACGCGGAGAAGAAATACTAAAATATCATCATTGAAATAAACACGTCGAACTCGTTTTTCCCAACTCGTCATTTATCTAGTATTATTCTGATGCTCTCTTTAAAATGTGTGCGTGAGTGCAACAAGAGAGGAAAAATAAATAATTTAAAAGTATAAAATAAATATTACGATGAGAGAGAGACAGAGAGAGAGAAAAAGTGGAAAGGAATAAACATGAACGAAATGAAAAAAAAATGAGAGCGAAAAAGAGATTTTTGATTGCGTAGTTCCGCGCCGTATTATCGCGCGTGAAAATTCGACGAGCTCCTGCGCAACGTCTGGTAGCGAGATATACGTGAACGGAGAGCTAGGATTGATAGGTAGCGCGAGAGGTCAGTGATAACCCGCGGGTCGCGCACCTCTCCCACTCTGATACTACTCGCGCATACAGATCGCGCTCGAGGGCCGGCAGCAATAGTAGCCTCGGCCTCGTGAAAACGGCCGCGTGTGCGAAACGGAAAAACATTCTCGCGAGAGAAATGCGGCGTAGAAGCGGGACGCGCGGAGAAGAGGAAAGAGCCGAAGTCGCTTCTGCGTGCCGCGACCGCGCTTTCACGTACCGACGAGGGAGCATGTCGATCGCACGATGTCGCGCGATTAGTCTTGCGTATCCGTAAATTTCGCGGTACATTATGTCAGCTATGCGAAGCCAGTCTTGTGTGTCGGGAAAAAATCGAGGAATCCGGGCGACTTTCGCGAAAATCGGATCGATCAGATCGAAAAAATCGAGAATTTCGTAAAAAACGCCGATCTTGCGGATACAAATCGCTCGTATTGACGTCACATCTAATCTCGCGACGGGAATGATTTGATGATGTTCAGAGATGATCTCGAACGACGTTCTTCGCGATTAATGTGACAATGTTTATCATATTATTGCGCGCAAGCCGAAGTTCATTGACCTTAATAAGATAGCGCGAAAAAGCGGGAACGATAAACGTCCGCCTCGGTGTTTCGTGTACAAGGCGCCTAGGTGCGGGCGGTATAGCCATCCAATTCCGCACAACACATCGCGCTCTGCTTGGCTCACCTAATCCCTCTTTTCCCCGTCACTCCCGCGCGTTTCCACGACCCTCTCCCCTGCTGATTCCTCCGTGGGTTCCGTAGTTGGCGAACACACCACTCTGTCTCCCTCCCGCCCTCCCTTCCCACCTCGCTACGTCTCGCATACAAACGAGAGGCTGAGACGCGGGCGCGCGGTCCCCCGTCGTCGTCCCCGATTTATCTACTTTGAAAATCCCTGTCCGAGAAGGAGACGGAGAAACAGAGAGAGGCCCGATAACCTCGCCGGCGACCTAAGCCTAACCCATTAAGGAGAAGACCTCTCTCTCTCATATATATATATATATATATATGTATATATATATATATATATACACATATATATACGTACGTTGAGGTCCGTGCACGTCGGACGGCTATCTGCTCCTCGTGGCCACCTATATAATTGACGTCAACGCACACTGCTGGCCTTTCATAAAAACACCTCCCTACATCCGTTCTACGCCGCTCCGAAGATTTCATTCCTCCGTGCCTCACGCCGTACCCCGGGACCCTCTTTACCCGCGCTCCTCGCGCTCCCTCACGATCCTCTTCTTCTCCTTGCTTTCTCTCTTTCTCTTTCTCTTCTCCTCTCCGCCAACCCTCTGTGCGCGACTCACTTAATCTCCTCTTTCGCCGAGAGCAAGTCATCCGTTTCTGTGGTGGAAACGCACATCACCACCTCTCGACGCTCACCGTGGTCCTCTTCTTCTCTCGTCCTCATCCTCCTTCTTCCTTTCCACGAATTAATTTCCTCCCGTGAGCTTACTCACGCCTTGTCGTTTCGTCTCGGCGCATCCGGACGTCCTTCTCCCTTCTCGCTCCTGACGTTTCTCCCTCGTGTCAACCCGTTTTTTCCATTCCCTCCTCCCTCTCTCTCCGTCGAGAGCGACGTCTTCGCTTTTCTGGATCTTGCTTGAGTAAAACGCGGACGTTATTGTTATCGCTAAGTCGCCGGTGGGCAGGGTGGGGCGCGGACGCACAAGTGGATCGAGAGAAGAAGCAGAAGAGGAAGTCAAAGTGAAGAAACTGCCGGCGTGCTTTGTTCCGCTCGGTTGCTCATAGCGGTGAATACGAGCGTGCTTGATGATCGGGATTGCGTTGATAACGAGATCGTGGATAGATGATATAATAGAGGCCTCGGTTCGCTCTTGCCAGGCCGATCTTGCGGCTGATAATCGATAATTCGTAAGGTGATCGATAGTGCTCTGCTGTTGCTGTTTGGTGATTAGTCACGTGTTTGCGAGCCTTCGATTGGTCACTCGATTGTGTCAAGTATGAGGAAAAAGAATCTGCCAGTTGTTCACAAGTTAGTGCGCGATCGCGATCGATCTCAGCAGGTATTATTATAATGCATCTGTTGTATTGTTAATATTTTTTTACTTTCTAAATGTAATCGCAGCATTAAAATAACATTTTTACTTTGACATCCTGTAGACGTTAAATTTAAATTAAATTTTAAAAGTTTATTTTCCGGTTAAATCATTAAACATAACGCGTGGCGCTATAAAAGAGCAAGACGTTAATATAAATAAATAAATGCGTGTAACTGAGAGCAATTGGATGTAAACGAATACGTGTGGAATAAAAACGTTAAAAAAAAGTTAGAATATCTCACAGTATTAAATCCGTTTTCAATCGGTGTTAGTGAAAAAACCGGGCCGAAAAATGTAGGTCAAAAAATGAATTTTTTCCATCTTGCGCACGAAGTCGACAATCAAAGATAATCAATAAAAATAATGTTATTACTGAATGTGTGTCAAAACTCAGGAATCAATTGCGTCTTTAAAATGTAATTTATAAGTTATTTTGAAAATATTAGCGTACAGTCTAATTATTTAAAATATATGCATTTTGTCATATATTTTAAAGATTAGGAGAGACAAAATATGTGATTGATGTAACAATTAATTTTATCATAATTATGCGATTACAGCAAACGGACGTCCGATCAAGTTTGGAGCACTTCTCGAGCACACCGGTTAAGTCACTTCCGGGTAAGAGGGAGGATACACCCCCGGCATCGTTAACGTCTCTGGCGCCACTCACCAGTTTGGCAAACTTACCGAGCAGCACTCTTTCGTCCACACCGCTGTCGCTCGCATCTGCGTCAAAGTTGCTCACGCCAGCGGACAACAAGAGTCTCATGAGGTCAGTATGATGAACTAGTTACGATGAGGGCGACGAATGAAACCCATGTTTTCTCGGCGTAATAGAGTCAATGATACGCGGCTTCTCTCTTATCCATTTCTTAATTAGCTATCTATCCAGCATCAAGGCCGGTTCAATGTAGAGCGCAAAGACTTTTCTCAAATCAAAAATTTTGCACGCGCTTAATTCATTCATTTTTTTCTTGTTTTTTTTTCTTATCAAGAAATCCAACGAAAACAGCAACGTCGTACGCACTATCGTTCAATTAACTTCTGTCTCGAGTTACGGTAACCAATTATCGTTATCGGCACTAAGATCCCCGTCGTCGAAGTCGAGTTCTAGATAAGGCTTCGTCTTCGGTCGGAGGTCACGGCACAAAAATTCACCGAATGCCTCGGCAAATGCGCACACGTCTTTAACGGGACGTGTGGCACTAATCAGCACTTTGCCTTTATCGCTAACGCGCATCTTATTCCTGTTTTTCAGCCAAGCGACGATAGTGAGCTCATCGACGGTGAACGGTGTCGGCAGTGGTGTTGCACCGACGACAATGTACAGACCCAACTTCGGTCAGGCGTTTCAGCGCGCCGGACCTACAACGGTACCGCCGACCCTCTCCGCCGGACTGTACCCGACCCAAAGTTTCACGTCGGGCCTACTGAGCAACGGTACACAAAGTAATACTGGTTATTGGTGTCCTTATAAGTTTTGCACGCTGTTATTTTAAGTTGTTTTTCTTTCTTAAGCGATCCTCGATTCAACTTCGATGAGGTTTTTTTGTAATCAGATATGAAACTTTGAAGAAAATACTTTAATGCCTAATCGATTATGCAGATTAATTTTAAAAATAATTTGTTTGTCACTTTCTATTTTTGACGATAATCGTGATGTTTTTAACGATGTGATCGCCAGTCTTCGCGGTTAGCCGGCACGAAAATTTATTTTCTAACACGCGTGCTTCGATAAATCGCCCTGAATTATCAATTTTTAACTCGTGTTATTTTTGCAGGACCGACGGATCTCAGCATGAAAAACACGAAGCCGCTACTGAGTCACAAGTTGAACGCGACGGAAATGACCGCGGTGAGGCAACTGATAACTGGATATCGAGAGTCAGCCGCCTTTTTGCTCAGGTCCGCCGACGAGTTGGAACAATTATTGCTTCAGCAACCATAGAGTTACATTTACATGGCCGGCGCCCAGCAGCTCGGCTCATAGTCACAGCGATCAGCGGGAAAATAAATTCGAGTGTTCACACAGCCTTTGTGTGATCAACGATCCATGGTGGATTTACTAGTAATTCATCAAGAACTGGTGATTCGTCGTGTCTACCCGCTACTCTGTTGGCAACGTGGCTCTTCTTATGAACTTATCTTCTGCTGTAAAGTCCAGCGCAAATTAGACGGATTGATTTGACGTAACAAGATGAGATGACGAGTATGCAAAATTTTATATATGATCGACGACCGAATTTGGAGAATCGATTGAAAATATTTTATGCTTCTAATGGACGTAAGATTGTTTCTTTTTTGGCGACAAAAAAATTGAGACGTAAAGATCGCGGAAAAAACCCACATTATTGGAGAAGAGCGATGCTTATACGAATTTTTTGTCAATGTTGTTACAATTTGGCTAAAGGCGCCAAGAACAGAGTTCCGTATATAT